ATAACATTAGACATATGCATAGAGGGGACACTATTAATTCCTTGGATAATTCATTGCATCATGCATATAGGCTAATGGATTAAATTTGGATCATTTTTTTTTACTAAACCGGGTTCAAATGTAACTTTAAAAACTCTTTATGATTATACAAAGGATTATAGTTTTACAATCTATATCTGAATGCGTTAAAAATTGGATATAAGATCGAAATATACAATTAGATCTACTTAACTCCGTTATATTTTATTCAATTAAAGTTGACATAAATTTCAATTCAATTTTATCCAACAACAACTAATGCGCATAATATATCTATGTCTGGTTATGTAAAGATAGAATTGAATTACAAGTAAATCCAAATTCAAATCTATAAAGTATGCTTGGATCCGAACTTGGATACTTATTCAAAAAATTAACTTATATCCAACTAATCGGATTCAAATTTGAATGGAATTAAGATTAAATTCAATCCATTGATAAATCTGCATATATATGTTATTTTAAAAGTTTTTTCTTTTGTTATTCTTCCTCATTTAAAGTGCTATAAAATGAGGAATATGATCAAATCACTCGGAGGTGGCTATGATGGTTAAGGCTTGAAAATTTTAGATATGACTCAAAAATTTAAAATGAAATTGATACATAATTTGTGAGTTAAAATTTTTTTTTTTAGTGATTTTGAATAAGAAATGTGAAATTGGCAAAAAATCTACACGTGACTTGCATGTGCGACTTAATGTGGGCATTTTAGGAAATTCACATCCTTTTTCTTCTTCTCCTCCTCAACTGTAAACCCAATGGTCATATTTGAAAATATGATAAACCCAATGGTTATACTTGAAAATATGTTAAAACAAGTCAACTCAACTTTCCTTGAGCTGATCTCTTAGGTGGATAACTCGGGGTCTTTGAGGAGTTCAGACCTATTTTATTGTACAACATCCTCACAAACATATGGGAGGGGATTTGATTGATTTTAAGAAATCCTTTCAAACTCAACCAAAGGGATTTCTATATGGGATTCAATTATAAACCGAATTTAATTTCATATTTGGTAGGTGACATAAATATACATGATGTTCATAGATTTATGTCAAATCATATTACTTAATTTATTAAAACGTCTATTATTAGGTGAATAGAAAATTAATTTTTTAAATAAAATAGTCTGTTTGTTTTCAAATCTAATCTTTCACTTTTAAAACCCACCTCCATGAGTTTCATCAGCCCGCATACTTGACTTTTAATGCACTATTCATTGTGGGCTGGGACAGAGCCAAAATATGAATCCCAAATTTAAAAGTTTTAACCAAATATAAAATTAAGTAGTGCATCAAACTATTTTTCTTAAACTCCCCGATCAAACCCGGTAAACAAACAGACCCAATAACTTTTGCTTTCAAATAATTTCTGCTTTCATTCACATTCACATTGAAACAAAGGAAATGCATTGGGACTGAATTTGGAACTTTCTAAATGTCCGGGGTTAAATTTTTCATCAAATTTCTGCTTTGTGATGGCATTAAAATCCAACACTTAGTCTCAGCCAAACACTCAGAATGTACACAGAAAGCACATAGAGCAGAGAATGGACAGTAAATAAACACACAGGCAAGGTACACAAAATTTACAGGCAACAGCCAAACTTTTTTTTCTCAATAAAGTATAAGGAACTCAACCTTAGGGTATGTTTATAAAAACGTGTCAACTCTCTTGTTACAATACAAACCCCAAGCACCCTATTTATAATGTTCAAGGTGACAGTTACAAGCCCAACCACCTAGGCACATGCCTGTAATTCAAATGCTACCAGATATCTACTATGATTGGATGACAGAGAAGTTATAACTGGTGTCTGCATGCTTGTCTGAATCTAACAGAGATCTCACATACTGTGCGCTTGCCAAAAAACTGCCCAGAACTGTCACCATATGTAGAGCACATACCCAACTTCCTCACATATTGTGCATGTGTCAAGAGCTCTCAGCATCCGAATTGTATTACATTCGTGCCTAACCATAGTCCAACCCATGGCTCATTATTCAAGCTAGCATTGCCCTACAATTCAAGCCACTCGATTTCCTTGCTTGCATGCTTGACTTGTGCCCACATGCCCATGTGCATTTACTGCCTCCCTTAATGATGCATGAGACTTCTGTCATTTTAGCTAAGGTATGAATGCCTTTAGGCGAGGCTACTCGATGTCAAATACTGCCGATGGCTAAGAAGGTAACACTAACCGAGTACGCGTATTTGGAAATTTGGGGGGTTCACCCTATCCTAAGGTAGGAATTATAATATTTCATTTGTTTACTCGATATTTTGTGAAATTTTTTTTTTTATCTAACTCTATCCGATCAAATATATTATTTTTACCCAAATTTCATCCAAAATAATCTAGTAAGAAATCAGGTGAATGCCTATTTTTTAGTTATTAATTTTTAGATCATTTTAAAAATTTAATTAAATAACTTGTATCAATTAATTAACACGATAAACTAATAACACTAAAAAAAATACAATAAATTTGATAATCCATATACAAGTTAATATATATATAAGAAAGTCATAAATATAAATAAAATATTAGAATTTCTAAATTTTTATATTTTTAATTATTTGGGATTAACACACACATATATATGTATATGTTTATGGGTAGGGTACGAAAAGAATACAAAAATTTTATAAGTATTTCTCATTCTTACCCAATTTTTTATGAAATACCAAAAAAAATTCTGTTGGCCAACCCGATTTTTTCGGGTAGCCGATCAATAGAGTCAAATAGAATAGGATATGTTCAAAACATAGGGGTAATAAAAAATTTGAACACTCCTGTTAGAAACCAAGGAACAAGCTCGCTGGAGATGGAGCGTCTTGTGTAGAGTTTCTTTGAGGTCTTTCGTCAAACACCTTGCATTGGTTGCACAATTTGGCATTGGTTAAGTTGGTAAAAAAATTGTGCAGTTTCGATTGTTGCTTAGTTTCGACCCAAACCAAGTACATTTAAAGAATGTGGATTCCTGCTTCCTTGAACCACCTACCTCACCACCAATATTTAATACCCTTTTTTATGCAAAGAAAGACAAAAAGACTCCTTGGGATGATGGATAACTAGTACTTAAATACTTGTAACATTGACGGATTGGTCAAGCACTAACTTTTTGTTCTGTATCATCTGGAGTATTAGTTGGAGGGTGTTTGAGAAGATTGGCTGAGCTGATGCATCAATGTACCAATGGAGATAAAGAAAGAAGGGTCTAATTATCCAGTTTTTGAGTTCATCTTTGCATATTCTTGTGTGGGCAGGGATTCAATTCTTTTCCTGTGGCAGCAAAAAGCACAATCAGACTTTGTGGTGTACTCGTCTCCACTAGTCGGCTTGTTTCTGAATGTGGGATGTTCGCATTAGGCTTTTTCACCACTGGGGACGTTATCGAATTACAGTTATTTAAGAATATGGTACACAAATGATGGCCATCAGGACAGAGTGTGGGTGGCAAATCGAACCACACCTATTACAGGCAACTCTGGAGTGGTCAGAATGGATTGCACGTGGAGGTTGATAATCACCAGTGGAGGGACAACTATTGCGAATGTTTCTGACAAAGGCATGGCCAATGCAACAGCTAGACTGGAAGATACAGGCAACTTTGTTCTGACTGATGAAACTGGGAAGCTGACGTTGTGGCAAAGCTTTGATCATCCTACCAATTAACGTGCTTTTGCCTGTTATGAAGCTTGTATATAACATCACAACAGGGCAGAATTGGACACTTACTTCTTGGCTGAGTGACAATGTCTCGGCTTCTAGGGCTTTCACCTTGAGCTGGGAGCCCCACTTAGACTCAGGTTCAGGGCAGCTGGTCATTCACCGCCGTGGAAAGCCTTATTGGACTAGTGGGCTTCTGAATGGCCAAAAATTTGTAAACATGACTACAGCGTGTGATCCTTACTTGCAGGACTATTACAACCTCAGTCACGTATCTGAAATCAACTTTCATGATATGTGAAGTTAAATCACAGAATTTCAAACCCTGGGATTGTGAGGAGATAGTACATTGATTCAAGGGGATATTGAGTGCGCTGAAGAGAACAAGTTACCAGTCTCCTCTTGAGGATTCAGATTGCCAAATTCAAGCACCATCAAATGTTGATGGTGGGTTTGTTGATGGCGTGAGCTAAATGGACTGAGAGACAGAGAGATGATACGACCACTGTCATCGGGCCACGCCTAATGGTCCTGGTTCGCCTAATTGATGTGTGTTTGCATATTCATAGATGCATGCCTCTCCCACTGCCTTTGTTGTGCATACAGAGAGAGAGATGTGGGGGGCTTTCTGTTGTGGCTTTCTCTGCCTGCTAGGTGCCCCCCAACCAAAGAGGGGGGGTGTGAGCGTGGACATTGTTGTTGGCTTTAGCTGGTTGGATGGTAGCCGGTGAGGGATAAGGGACGGTGGTCGTAGACCATAGAGAGAGAGAAAGACATTGAGTGTATTTTTGTGTTTTTAAGATGCTTTTTCTATGCCAATTCTTGATAATCTAGATCTACGCTATTGAGTGGCCTAGTCGCAGGTAGGAGGAAATTTCGCTTTCCTTTTTGGTGTTGAAAAAAAATTCATTTGCAATATATATATTTGTTTATGTTTTAACTCTCATAGAACTTTTCAAGAAGGGCGGCAGACACACAACGAGTCTTTCTTTCTTTTATTCAAATCTCACCCTTTGACAAATTCCACCTTTACTAGAAGCAACAGATGACCATTTCAGTTTAGACCCTCTCCTACACCATTAGTCAATGGCGTTGGTTGTTTTGCCCTGGTGCCTAGTATGTCTAAGAGCAGTTTATAAGGAATTATATAATGATGTCCAAAAGCCTTGTAAAGCATTAGCCTCAGAGTCATATGATATAGAGATTGTCACACAGACAACCCTTCATGGCTTCAATTTTCATGCTCATCTTGTCCTTCTTATGCAGCCAAGGACTATATTCTTCTTCTGTGGCTGCAACAAGCACAATCAGAGTTGGTGATCAACTCAACTCCACTACGAATCTTGTCTCCGAAAATGGGAACTTCACTTTAGGATTCTTCACTGTGGGACGCCCAAATTCCCAGAATTCCAGTTACTTTGGAGTATGGTACACAAATGATGACCGACAGAGGAAAGTTTGGGTTGCCAATCCAAACTCACCCATTACTAGCAGCTTTGGGGTCCTCGCAATCGACAGCAACGGAACATTGGAAATTACCAGCGAAGGGAGCAGTATTATGATTCTTCATGATCAGAATGGGACAGTTAATGCAACGGCTACACTAGAAGATTCTGGTAACTTTGTCCTGATGGATGCAGCTGATAGGAGGACTCTGTGGCAAAGCTTTGATCATCCTACCAACACCCTTTTGGCCGGTATGAAACTTGGTTATAATCTCACATCTGGGCAAAATTGGACGCTTACTTCTTGGCTAAATGATTATGTCCCGGCGGCCGGCGCATTCAATTTAAGCTTGGAATCCATTGGAGACTCAGCACAGTTGGTCATGCATCGGCGAGGAGAACCTTACTGGACAAGTGGGCCTTGGAATAATGGAAATTTTGAATTCACGGTCACCTTGAATGACACAAGTAATCCGTACCAGTACAACCTCCACTACGTCTCTAATGGTGATGGGAAGTATTTCACTTTTGATGCTACCGACGCCAAGATTAGTATGATGGAATTGACTTCAAAGGGGGAGATTCTTGATGGTGCTAATAGTCGTTTCGTTAGCCCTGCTGATTTTTGTTATGGATATCAAGCGGATAATGGGTGTGTGAAAACTCAATTGCCCGGGTGCCGGAGCCAAAAGGATAGTTTCCAGCAACTGAGTGCAAATTTTCCGGTCACAACTAGTAGCTATGAAACAATACAATCTCAAGTCTAAGTGATTGTATGGAAAGGTGCTGGAACGATTGCAGTTGTGTTGGTTTTGCCAACAATAGCATGGGAACAAGCTGCATAATGTGGAGGGGAAATGATAAATATCAAATAGATGACAGTGGTAATGCTGTCAAGAAGTATGTGCTGGTTTCATCAAAATCCTCCAAAGGTAAGCCTATTTATATCTATACACTGTTTGATACTGCCTTTTATATTAGTACATAACTTCAGAGTAAAAAGCCATTATGGTATAATTATGGGTGGAAAACAACCCCACACGGTCTAGTTGTTGGGGCATATTGCTACACTTTTGAAAAGTTAAAAGGACTAATGTGGAACTTTCTATCTTTGAATGAGCAACGTACAACTTTTAAAAATCTGAGGGGGCAGAGTGCCATTAGCCCTTTTTTATATCTAGATATGAGAGCAATTGGGCAGCATATGAAACAAATTAGGTCAGGACTTAGCTTTTAGTTTATATCATGATATTATTCTGAGGTTTAATGGAAAGAATTTTGGCAATATCATGTTAATCAGTGCATTCCATTTTGATTGGGATGGCTGCACATGCTGTTTTCTGTGACATGTAAAGTATAAACTAACTAAGCCTGTATTAAATTGCCCATTGCACATGCTGTTTTCTTTGGCCATTGAACTGTGATACTTATAAACCTAAGGTAAAATATGGATTACTAAATGGAACCGAAAAGATTTGAGTTTGCAGGAGAACAAATGGATTTGGGATTATTTTTATTAAATCCTTATAGGGTTGTTACAGGGCAATGAGATTTAGCATGATGTTGAAAACTAATGATTCTTTACAATATGTAAAATCTAGCGGTAACTGATTAATTTGATGAATGATATTTGGCAGGAAACAAGTGGATATGGGCAGTGATTGCTATAGCTATCTTCCTAGGCTTGCTTACATTGGGATCTGTGTTGTACTTGAGAATGAGAAAGCATAGAATAGAAGGTAAATATCCTACAATCAGTGCTTTGGTAGGCTTAAAAACACTAATAAGCTATTTCTGTTGGTAGACATTGGAATTGTACTCTGAGAACGAATAGTATTTTGTGCAGGGGAGGAGGAAAAAAGGAGAAAAGAGTATTTACTGGCATTGACAGCTTCAGACAGCTTAAACAATGCAGATGCTTTTGAAAACAATGGAAGGGAAGGGCACGATTTGAATATATTCAGCTTTGCCTCCATTGCAGCAGCCACTAATAACTTCTCGCATCAAAATAAGCTCGGAGAGGGTGGTTTTGGACCTGTTTACAAGGTAAACTGCAAACCCTGTTCAATTGAAATTTATCAGATTTTGTTCAATATCAGACTGTACATTTTACCCCATCAAAGTCTGCAGTGGCGAGAGAGGGTCAGATGTACTGGGCTGCCCTTTAGATTTTGTCAGGTATACGCAATGACCAACAACTTTTTAATAGGGACAATTACCTGAGGGCCGAGAAATAGCAGTCAAAAGACTCTCAAGAACATCAGGTCAAGGGCTTGTGGAGTTCAAGAATGAGCTCATACTCATAACCAAACTCCAGCATACTAACCTTGTTCGGGTTCTTGGATGCTGCTTACATGGAGAAGAAAAGATGTTAATTTATGAGTACATGCCCAACAAGAGCCTCGACTTCTTCCTTTTTGGTGTGCAATATGTCTAGCCCTTACCTAGTTTCAAAAAATTACAATTAGTGAGGGCTGTCATCTGATAACTTACTATTACTCAACGCATTTCCTGTTTTTCTCGGGTGACAGATTCAACTAAAAGGGAGCTCCTAAACTGGGAAATACGAATAAATATCATCGATGGGGTCGCTCAAGGCTTACTTTACCTTCACAAATACTCGAGAATGCGAGTAATACACAGAGATTTAAAAGTCAGTAATATATTACTTGATGACAATATGAACCCCAAGATTTCTGATTTTGGCATGGCAAGAATTTTCAAGCCGAATGAAAAGGAAGCAATGACTAATAGGGTTGTTGGAACATAGTAAGTAAAATAATTTATGAATTTGTGGAAGTAGTAACCTTCACTTCTATAACTGATAATTGTTCCAATCAAGCACTCTCTAAACTTGGGTCACATATTGTTTATACCATGATATACTAAAGAAATTCAATATGATCATTGTATACAGTGGTTATATGTCACCAGAGTATGCCATGGAAGGGACTTTCTCTGTGAAATCTGACGTCTTCAGTTTTGGCGTTTTACTCTTGGAAATTGTGAGTGGAGGGAGAAATACTACCTTCTATCATCTTGACCGTCCACTCAACCTCATAGGATATGTAAGTTTGTTTTCTTTAAATGATACCCTTCACATCCTCAAATTATGACTTTGATCTTATGTTATATCACCTACTAATGAGTTTCTCATATTGCCCACTTATGTATTATAATTGGTCTCATTGTCTCAAAATCAAATTTTTTTGGACATTAGATATTGATGACTCATTAGGGCAAAGTGAAACAAAATCCGTTTGTTTGGAGGTGAATTCACACTTCTTCTCGATCAATCTATAATACATTTTGCAATTACAACAATATGAAGCCAATACTATAGTAGCGGTGCAATATGGAAAACATAATATATAAGGACACAATGTGAGACAGGAGTATATTTGACAAGATCGAAGTATAATTTGTCTTAGAGTAATATTTGCTTCATTTTCTAAACTATGTCTGATAACGTGCATTAGTAAATTTGAGTATAGTCTTAACAGATTCTGATGTACGAATCCCGTTAAACACAATACGAGTCCGTGTATACATGATTATTAATGGGTTGGATGTAGTTGAGTAAATTTTAGCATGTCACAACTGACGTGGACCATATCACTTATATACATTTAGAGACACCAAATATTGCTTTGTACTAATGATATCTATCCGAACCAGGCATGGGAGCTATGGAAAGAAGGAGCTGCATTGGAGTTAAAGGATCCAATACTAGGTGATTCGTGCACAGAACATGAACTGTTGAGAACCATTCATGTTGGTCTTTTATGTGTTCAAGAAAGTGCAACGGACAGACCAACCATGTCAGAAGTCATCTCTTTCCTCGGTAATGAAACTATGCCTTCAGTTGCTCCCAAACAACCTGCATTTTTCACTGGAAAGAATGCGCTCAATTCAGCTTCGCATGAATGTTCTGTCAATGGATAACAATTTTTTAAATTTCATTTAAGTTTTGTAACATTGCGCTTTTAGGATATACAAAATCTCACTTTTCAATTTTCATACATCTTAGTTCTCCATATTTCTCTAGCTATTTTGTTCACTATCCTTATTTTAACAACATGTATGTTACTTGTATTCATGCACACTCTGGGCAACTCATGTCCCAGTTACTTAGAGAGAGAGAGAGTTTGGTTGAGTTATTTACCAGTCTCCTGCAATTTTAAAACAAATTTATTGAAATACGATATTGTTGAACTTATTTTTCAAACTACAATAATTTTTAAAAAGTAGGTTTGTTAACTCCGTTTTTTAACAAAAGCGGAGTCAACAATCCTGCTTCTAATTGACGGTTGGAAAAGTTTATTCATTATTTCAATATGATGTAAAAGATGGTTGTTAAATCCAAAGAATTCACTCTTAAAAGCGAGTTTTTTAACAAAAGCGGAGTAAATAATTTTGTTTTTTAGAAAGTGTTGTAGTTTAGTATATAAGTTCAAATTACTGTATTTTGATAAATTTATTTTAAAATTATCGTAAAATAGTAAATAATTCAAGTTTGGTTTGGGTGGCAACACATCAAATTATAAAGTGTTCGGGCTGTATTCTTTTGAATTCATGATGAATAATATTTGTTTTTAACATGCCTTGTTTAATTAATCGTGTTTGATAATTTATACACCAATCCAATATACTTATTAATTGTGACGTGCTCGAATTGACACATTTAACCTGTGAACTAAAAAATTCACAATAGTATATCTTTATCTTTAAACTAAACCAACCACTGGTAGATTTTTCATAAATTAAAATTCCACTTCGTCTAGATGCTTTCAAAACCGAGGAACAAATTCCTGAATAGCATAAAACAAATTTATATAATAAAATATAGCATAAAAAATAATTTTTATTTTTCACGATTAATAACGTTTTAAATTTTACTTTGAAATTAATCTGATGACTAATAATAACTCTCCAAATTTAACAGGAAAAATAGGTCTTCTAAGGGTTTGTTTGTGGTGACTTTTCAAAAGTGTTTTTACGACTTATGACTTCTCATAAATACTTTAAAAAAAATAGTATTTATAATAACTTATTTTAATTACTTTCAAATAAGTCAAAAGTAGCTTAACACTTAAATAATAAGTAAAATAAAAAAATAATAATAATTTCTAGTTCTTTAAAATCCCTTCTCTACAAAACACTTTACTACCACCGCCGCCGCCACCCCATCACCGCCACCCACCATCACCACCACTGCCGCCCCCACCACCACCCATCATCATCCTCATCATTATTTTATTTTTATATTTATTACTACTACTACTATCATCTCACTGCCACCACTCATCACCATTATCGTTGCCCACCACCACCTACTACCACCCAGTGCCACTCACTACCACAACCCACCACAATTCGTCGTTGCCTACCCCTACTACATCTACCACTACCATCGTCATTCGCCGCCGCCACCACCATCGTCACCACTCACCACCACAACCCATTATCGCCACCACCACTATTGTCGCCCCACCACCACCACTACCACCATTGACGTCGCCATGCCACTATCACCATTGTCATCCGAAAACCACCACCACCATGATCATCACCACCCATGGCTGCGACATGGTCATTGCTACACACCACAACTATCACCATCTCTCACCACCACCACCATGATCATCACCACCCATGGCTATGACATGGTCATTGCCACCCACCACAACTATCACCGTCTCTCACCACCACCACTATCACTCACAATCACTACCATTGCTCACCTCCACTACAACTAGTGCTTAAATTCTTTTCTCTGTTTTCTATATTTGTGATTTGATTTTAGGTGTGAATACAAATATATTTATGATTGACAATTTTTTTTATTACTCCGTACCTTCAGGTACGAGCAATAACTAGTCATACAATATTAGATCAAGAAATAAACACAAAAGGAAACATAAGAAATTTTCTTCATTTTACACCAATTAAGGTTTGGTTGGGTGAAAAAAATTCAAATATTCCTATTTCATGCTACTTTAATGCGTCTATTAACCGTATTAACAAATTCAATTATTTTTAGATTCGTATCTAAGATTTGTTAGTTGTAACCCGCTAATTAGCTATTTGGGCTTAAAGGCCAAAAAAGATATAAGATTTAGACCATCATGAATACAGCTCATGCCCATTTCAAATAATCTTGCTATTTATTGAGGTTTATAATCTATACTTTATAATATAAAATAAGATATGTTTCAATAATATTACACGACGATCTCAAATAAATTTATCTAACGACTAGTAATATCTCTCTCAAAACTAATCATATTAAATTTTACCTTCCTCTCCTCACTTTTCACACTCTCTCTCTAATTTTCACTCTAGTACGTTCAAGCACAGGTTACCCCTAATCTATATAATAAAGTAGTCAAATTTTTTTATCTTTAACTTTTCGCTGCTCAGATCATTTCAAGACGATCCAACGATCCTAATTGGACTTTATTCTAATACTAACACTCTCTCCTATCTCTTAGACATTTTAAATACACACTATCTCATTTTCTCTCTCTATATATCTCGCATCTCTTCTAAACACACACACACACACACTATATAGATATCTCTCATATAATTTTCTCTCTCTCTCTCTCTCTCCTGTCTCTTTTAACTCGAACACTCTTATCTCTCATATAATTCTCTCTCCTAACTTTTAGACGTTTTAAATACACACTCTCTCATCTCCCCCTCTCATCTCCTCTCTCTCAATCTCATATCTCTTTAAACACACTCTATATATCTCTCATATATAATTTTTTTATCTCTTTCTCTCCTTTCTCTTACAAGTTTTAAATTTGATTTTTATTTTAAACACACATTATCCCATATGTCTTTTTATTATTTGAATGTGGATGAATTAAAAAAAATATTTGTATATTTTTAGAAAATGAGAAAACATCTAAATATAATTTTTTTTTTATAGGATGTATACATTCTTTTGGAAGCGAATAGAATTTTGTTAGTATTTGTTTATTTTTTCTTGAGGTATTTATTACGTGAGGTGGATTGCAAATTTAGTGATTTAGTTTATAATTATATTGTGTTATTGAGTTGAATGGTGACAACAGTGATAAATTCATACGTTTTATAAATGAGTAAGATTTTATTTATTGCTTAAAAATTATAAATTATATTAGGTTCCGTTATTTTT